AAGAAGGGAGGAAGGAAGAATTGATTTTGCCAAACTGACATGGATTTAGACAATCAGTATTTTCTAAATTGCTGAATTACTTAGAAAGCTGCTAGATTCATTAAAAGTGAGTATGTATTTAGTCTATGACATAGAACTTCCTTCAATATATTTACCCAAGACAAAAATATGTGAGTCATAATTATAGTAACATTTGTATTCTAAGAATCTAAGAACATTAATATTAGCTCTTTCTTTCCTTTTTTATTTTATCTTTATTTACTGATTGATTGATTTATTTTGTGACAGAATCTCAACACTTAGTTATCCCAGGCTGGGTTCAAACTCATAAAACTCCTTCCTTTGTCTCTCACACAGAAGGTCCACAGGTGTATGCCACCACCACACTCAGCCTTTAGTAAAAGCTTTAAACACATCAACAGAAAGTAAACTATTACAGTGTCTGTTCCTTATCAAATATTAATTGGTTGAGTTTGTGTGAATCTGTTTTTGGTCTCTCTAGTCTGTTCCACTCTCTATTTGTCTGTCCTTTTAAAGCTGTCACACCATCTTGATTGTTGTAGCTTTATATTAAGTATTGAAATCAGATCATCCTCAACTTTCTCTTCTAAACTATGTGACTATTCTACATCTTTTCCAGCTCAAAGAAGAAAATGAACATTCTACCAAACCAAGTTTGTTGTTAGGTTCAGAGCTTCTCAAAATGTAGGGTAGACACTGTGCATGTGGGAATCTTGTTAGGTTATGGGTCTAGAGTAAACCCAGAAACTATATTTCTAACAATCTCCTAATGGGGTTAATAATGTTAGAGCTATAACACTTTTGGAACAGTAAGTGTGTGAATTAATGTCTGTCTCCAAATGTGCTTAATAACTAAACAGATACTATTTATGACATGAAGGAATCATAGGTTTGCTGCAGTTCAAGTGTAATCAGGAAGGCATGAGGCCCAGCAACATTTCCACAGTGACACTAGGGAAGGATCTGCGCTAAAGTAGATTTACAGGTATAATATTAGATTTAAAAATATGCCTAATTTTGTGATTAAATCCTGTGAGCCCTTTGGGTTATTATATTACACTGGTAAAGGTACAATTTCTGTTACCTCTTTGAAAGAGTAAAAATAGCTTATAATCAATCTCTTCTTTACTTGTTACTATTAAGGTTAATTTTACTATAAATCTGTATACACCATATGAACCAGGGGTTTGGCCAAACATCGGGAAAGATGTTGCTATGAAGGTATTTTCTTACAAAGATTAGTATTTGAATCAGCACACTTTGAGGAAAGCAGATTACATTCCAAAGTATGAGTGGACGTTGTACAGTTAGTTGAAGGCCTCAAGGAAAAACAGACTGAGATTCCCTGAGAAAAGGAATTCTGTCCCCATACTCAAGCTAAGGGACGCAAGGACCACTACTTGCTCTCATTCTCTCTCTCTCTCTTCTTCTCTCTTTCCATATATCATTCATGTATATGGAGATACACATATGGTATATGGAATTATGCAAGCACAAATGGACAGATATTGATGTAGAGCCTGATGAAATATTCAAGGAAAAAGATTTTAATACTTGCTTTCTCTCTCTTCATGTGTCTATAATGATTCACTAGCAGGATATTTGCTGACAGGTTTTGTGGTTGAAATGCTGGCAGTCACTCGGTGCGAACCTATGGTTTTGTCCTCCGTTTTCAGACACTAGATGCTTCCTGTTTCTATGGATAAAGAGTGAGAACTGTTGACAAGGGTTTATACAGTTACTATATTGGTCCAATATTCTCCAGAGTCTTAACTAGTGGTTGTATTTTTCTAGATGAAACAGACTAAAGCGCCCATACCAGCTCCTGTTCCTAACTACAGACTCCAGTGGAAGACTCCAGTGCCTCAAAGCTCCCCTCCCTTCCCAAGAGCCTTCTCAGCTCCTCAGATGATGTAGTCGTAATCTCTCCAAGTCTCATCTTATTGCCTGACATCTACTTTAGTGCTTCTGAAGCCACTTTCCAAGATTTAACCATAGCTTGGACTCAAGATGATAACTTTCAACTCCTTTCATACACCTTCAAAGGATTACACTCTAAGATTCTTAGACTGTTAGAAAACATCAAGTGAATGTTGTGTAGCTCTGCCATTGTCGTATCCAGGATGCCTAGTTGTGTTGATCAACTTTCTGTCACCATAACAAAATACATGAAAAAATAAAATTAGCAGGAGAAAAGTTTTATTTTGGCTTATGGTTTTAGAAGTGTCACTCCATGACTACTTAGTCATATTGCCTGTGGGTCTATGACACAACATTATGGTGGGTAATAAATAGCAGAGGAAGATAATCACTTAATGATATAGAAAAGTAGAGAGGGGGGAGAAAGAGAGAGAGAGGAGAAAGAATAGATGGGGTCTCAATACTACCTTCAAGAATATGTTGTCAGTGACCTAATATCCTTCCATTAGACTCTATCTCCTAAATGTCCCACTACCTCCCAACAGCACCATCAGCTAGGGACCAAGTCTTCCATACATGAGACTTTGGGGGACATGAAAAAGCCAAACCATATCAGTGGTCTACATGATATGCCTGGGCTCCTGCCCAGCCAGTGTCAGATTCCAGAGTACAGCATTTCCTGGGCAGGTTTCATGATCTATTCAGCATGTTAATGGTGAAACAATTGTACACTGCTGTGTAACTATTTCCTATGAACTGAAACATTCTCTCAGGAAGGAAGGTTCATTAAGACCCAGGAAGCAAATTACACTTAAAGGTTCAAGAAGTAAACAAAACTTAAAAGTCCTAAGAATCACTGGCAACTTACACAATTCACATGGACCCTCCCCACGGTTATGTAAGCACTAACAATACTCTGATGAGAAGAGGCTTTCTGACTAGCTAGGCTCCCTAAATGTCACTCAGAGGCTCAAGAAATACAGCTTTCTTAAGCCATCACCCACCCTGAGGCTGGCTTTTCTGAGTAATCCATGTTCATGTAAGTAGCCTTTCATCCATACTCCTCAAAGTAACCTAATATACTCACTGGTTCAATAAGCTAGAATTGGGTGGAATTGTTTACTTGATCTGTCATCAGTGTCTTTTCCAAGGTGAATAGATATTTGGGGTGTTTATTCAGTTCTTCCCAGGAAAAGCCACAGAACACACACCAATCATTATGGTTTCATGTTTTTACAGGTCAGAACCATCGAGCCCAGTAAATGAATTGTGGCTGCTCTTGTCTGATTATTGCTCTGTGTCTCTTCAGTGAAAAAACAATGCAAATTTCTCTAAAATAAAACAGTCAACTGATAGCTGTCTTTCATTCTTCTGAGGATTATATTAACTAAATGGTTATTTTCTAAATAGGAAGAAATATATTATTCATTTTGGTGCCAATAAAAGATTTTATATAAGGCTGGAGAGGTGGCTCAACAGTTAAAAGCTCTAGCTGCTCCTTCGGAGGACTGGGTTTGATTCCCTGCATCCACATGGCAGCTAACAGCTGAATGTAGCTCCAGTTCCAGGGCATCTAATGTCCTCTTCTGTCCTCTGTAGGCATTGCATAACATGGGTGCATTTATATGCATGCAAACAAGGCATTCTCACAAATAAAAATATATAAATAAATGAATAAAATTTTAAAAAAGATTTGGTAAAGTATTGCAATAAAAATGTTTGCTTAAAGCTAGGTATGCAGGCACATACCTTTAGTCCCGGCACTCAGAAGGCAGTGGCAGGCAGATCTCTGTGAGATCAAGGCCAGTGTGTTCTACATAGTGAGTTCCAAGCCAGCTGGAGCTACAGGAAGATCCTGTCTCAAAAAAATATGTTTGCTTAAACTGTTCTCAAATACTTACATCTATACCCATAGATAAGTGGTGCTTAGCCTTCATCTAAGAATCTTCATTTTGTAGTGGGGTCTGGTTAATGCAGAGACTTACAGCTGTTCAAAATGCTGAGACTAAAAAGCTGCAAGAGCTTATCCCTAAAGAAGACATCTGCATCATACCACCCACGGTTCAAAGAATATTGCAAGAGGCAGCAGAAAGAATGTAAGAGCTGGAACATGGGGAGGAATGATGGGAAACATTGTCCTCTGGACATGGCATGGCCATTGTCCTCATGAACTCACTGCAACTCTGGTACCTGTATAGGATCTGCACAAGATTGGGCCCATCATCATTTCATCATTTGTCAGGGGAGCTCATAAACCTCCCTTCCCCATTGAGGGACTGGTGATAGTCAACAGTGACTGGGGAAAGGTGGCATTTTCTTTAGTGGTTTGGTGACTGAGATACCCATGCTCCAGTAAATAAACTCACCCATGTTCATGCAAACAACCCTAATTTAAACTCAGTGGGTCACAAAGCTAAGATATCAGTCAGTGTAGGAGGGGAAACTGTTAGGAAAAAGGGTTTCAGTGGAAGAAGGAGCAGGATGAGGGGATAACAGTGAGTAAAGCTGAACAAAATTCATTGTCCACATTTATGAGACTGTCAAAGAATTTTTTTAAGTGTTTACTGAATTAGAGCTGGCCTTACTTGAAATCTCTTTCATGAGTTAATTAAATGAGGCAGTACATTACGTCTTCAAAGAGTGTAAGGCATTGAATCCATTTATTATGGTCATAAAAATTTGAACTAAAATTCATACTATTATACTTAGGCACACAAGATAATTTAGAAGTAGAACCCCTTAATCTACTTTGTAGAGTGCTTACTAATTCGTAATCTCACTGGTATGGACAATTCAATCTAATCTTTAAACATTTCCCTGTTAGTTTGATCATGTCACTCAGCATTCAAATAAGATTTCCAAGATCAGAAAGAAAGCTTTCTATAAATGCAACTTTCTCCATGGAGGATACAGTCTTAGCGTCACCAACTCATAGGATGAGTTGGACTGACTGTAGATGGATTTTTGCAGACGAACAAACTGAGGCAAAGATATGACCTGGATTCCCTTTTGTCCTTACAGTTCCTCTCTGATTGTGAGGCTTTCTCTGCACCTTCTGTCTATGGAGAGGCAAACTTGCCAGCAAAAAGAATATGGCCGAACAGGTCACGAATAATAAATAAGAAAGGTTGATCTGCCATAAACTGAACAGGGATAAGGAGTCTTTTTACAGCAACACTCTCCCCAGTGGCCGCTGCTGCCTCAGTGCCCTCTTCGGTGACATCCACATATGACTTGTGAATGACCTTGGATAAATACAAGCCCTTGTCTGGTGACATTCCAGAAAAATCAGCTGCAGCCACGTTGAAGATATTCTTCATCCCCAGGGATTTCAACAGGGAGTTCAGCTCATATTTCATTTCGAGCTTGAATCTGGGGATACACACTTCCACTTCACTTTCCACCATGTTAGAAGAGTTGGTCCACTCCTGAAGAGTCCTCACATTCAGCTGCCTTTCTATCTAAGAGTCAAAACAGTTAAGCACACGTGAGCCAAGTGCACAGCCTCTGAGCAACACGGATTTGCTACTGTAATTCTCAGTGGAAATAGTCCCATTTCAGGGCTTGCTTTTCTCCCTAAATCATGCGCATGTGGTCTCTACTCTGCACTTAGCCACATCTGCCTTTTCTCTTGTCTTCCACTAATCTATATTCCACCACTGACCTCAGTGGGAACTTAAACTCCCTCAGCATTTAGGCTTTTCCTACATGTCTCTGCTGACTGACCCTGAAGTCACTATGTGCCTCCATCCTGAGTTGCTCCAAACAATTCTTCCTGACCTCAAATCTGAAACTTTGAATAATATCTTTATGAACTTAGTTCTCATTTGGCTTCTGGGATGCCAGGACCCCTTGTCTGCTCTTGATAGCTTTACTCTCCCCTCTGTCCTTCTTCTCTTTCTCCGCTTGCCTGGTGCATTTATGCCTCTGCCTGGCATTTCAATTCCCTAATATGTACCTAGTTGTCCCAAAACATTCCCTGCAACTGCTTTCTAACTGTAAATCAAACTTCATTATTTTTCTCAATCCACCAAATATCTCCCCTTGGGCATTTGATACCCTTCTAGCAACCCTCTCTACCAAGAACATGGTGTGTCAATTTTATCATTATATCCTACCAGAGTTTTAAACATTCTCATTATCTTCCTATACTCATAATTTAAAATTCTGTATAAGATAAAGGTAGATTTTCTTCCAAAGTATCCTTTTATCTTTTGTCCTTTGCTAACTCTAACCCAAGTTACCTTATGAAACAAACCCATCTAGGCTTCCTCACACACCTAGCACGTTCCCATGCATTCCTTGCTGTTCCTGGAGTAGCAGTGTCTCCTCACTCTGCCTGTCTATCTTCTCATCATTCGGTGAAGCTCACAGGGAGGTGATTCTCTAGGAAATCTTTGGTGGCTTCTTAATTCTAATTTATACCTTTTCTATTTGCATAGGACTTAATACAGTATCTAAACTGCTTCCAAACTGCTACATGACTCCAAATATCTTTCAACCCACCTGACCACAGTCCCCGAGGGACTTAATCTGTTCTGAATTGTCCACACCTGTAAGTATACTGTTTCTGTGGCCACAGTTAATGCTTCTCTTGCAGCTCTCTCTGGGCTGGTACCCACCCCACTTCTAAACCCAAATGCACACAAACCCATCCCAGAAACTTCAGGCAACCTTATCTACCCTCCTTACACACCCATACCAATTGTTTGTACCTAAAGTTAGCACACTGACCTACACTGACTGTCTTGGTAACCCTGACTGTGTCCATCCCATTGTGTGAGTCACCTTCTGCAGGCTCCCGGAGGCACAGTTCCCCTAAGAAACTGTCATTCTAAAGAGTGTTGGGAGGGGTTGGCTATGTTGGAGTAGATGGTGTGGTCACTCTTAGGTTTCTCTGTACTAAAAAGCAACCAGGGAGAGGGGATTGAAACCAGTTCCTACCACCATTTTGAACCCTCCTTCATGGTTTTAGGGTTAATTTCCTCACACAGCCAGGATATCAAAATGGTAACCTGATGAATGCAGGCTCTGGTTGGATCAGAAAAACTGCCTTGAGAACAATGCAGCTTCATCAGATTTCTGGGAACCCAGAATCCAATCAGGATTGTAATTTCATTACTATAGAAAGATGTCTACTAAGTGTCCAAGGAACAATATATGAGTACTTTACGGCATTCTTCCTTTTCATGACTTTTCTAATCAATGAATTTCTTATTCTGTGTAAATACATAGTACTAAAGGGCAGGGGTCATGAATCTTTCTTCTACAGCTTTTGGGGCAATACAGTTGTATCTAGTCATGAATCCATGACTGAGTACACAAACATCATGGGACACAGAGATTGAATTTTTTTGAGTACCAACTGAATATTTGAAATGTTAAACACATATTATCTGCATGCTGGCATTCTTGCAATGTTACCTGTTTTACATTAGCCATTCCATGCGGAAGCAAAATGATCATGTTTAGATTGTTGTTTGAATAAGGCAGCTCTAGGACTTGCATTTGTGGCTTCTTTATGTTGGCCAGTTTAAATCTTCCAGTCTGATACATCATTTTGACCATTACACTTTTACCCTATGAAAAGAGGATTATAATTAGATAGTACAGAAAGTAAATTTC